AAAAAAAAAACACACACACACACTCTCTAGCAATCAAGAAACACTGCACAATGTCCAATTCATTACCGGACAATGAAGCTGGTGTCGTGCACGAGGTTTCTCGCACAATGATCCACGGAGCTGTCCAAAGACAAAACTTCCAGCAGCAAAACAGTTGCAGGGATTTTCGGGGGTACAGTATGTTGCGGGACCATCATGACTAGCTATTCAGGCCCACCCTAAACCCGAAACCCCCTATAGTAGCGGCGAAGCGGCCAAACCGCCAGAAGCTCTGGGAGGTGCCGGCAGCCTCACAGACTTCGGCTACTCTGCAAGGCATGGGCTTAGGACTGGAACCTGCACGGGCCATGCAAAAAAAAAACCGGGAGACTCCCGGATGCCGCACTCGCTATTTTTTTATGATCTTCCCAAATGTTCGAATGTTCGAGCAGAGAGGAAAGAGCCCACCTGGATGTCTGGAAAGTATTCCAAACATGGCGACAGCTGGCCAAACTCAGACAAGGAACCCGAATATACTGCTATACCTGCCCGATCCTTGGGCAACCCTGGCGAGGCAGCTTTTTCGGCGCCGCGCTATTAAAGGCGTGAGCCCTTAGGGCACGCACGAAAGCGCTTGTCACGCGGGTGAGCTCATTAGCCACCCTCCAACTGCCTCGATGCTGTGAGCTTCGGCTCGAAGTGCCTTGAAGGAATGTAAGGGCGTCCAGGGAGCCAGGGAACCGTAATGACCGCCAGCGGTGGCTTTTTGAGGCGAGCAGGATGTTGAGGGAAGCTTCGGCCTTTCCAGAGCTATTGCCATGATACTGTTTGAATTGTTGATCTCGGGCTTGCCCAAACAGCTTAGCCGGACCTTCGCTTGTAGGCGCAGGCAAGGGTCGTATCTGCGCTCCTGACGCGCTCCAGGGTCCCTTCCCCCTGCCCGGTGCCTTTCAACATCTCCCGGAACAGCATGCAAAAAAAAACTTCGAAAACACAAGCCACCCGAGCAATCCTCGAACGGCGCTATTCCCTCCTGAAACATTCACATCAGGTCACCCTCAAGCAAAATCCTGGAACCCTTTCACGTGAGAGCCATGACCTGTCCTGCTGATAGTATCATATTGACTATGGTAATAAACTGCTGCTCGTGAACTAGGCAACAGCTCCTGTTCCCGTAACATTGGTTCGGTGCTCATGCGAGCCTGTTTTGCCCAACCGGTCCTACCACTAACAAGCCTTTCTCAATCCCCTGATTTTCTATTACAGCCTTCGTGCAGGTCCACATCAGTGAACCGAACGCGTTCAATGTTTGTATGTATGTATGTATGTATGTATGCATGTATGTATGCATGTATATGTATATGTATATATACGCGTGATACAGTACCACTAGTATCATATGTATACACATAAGGATGTAGGAAAAGACTTACCTATCAGTGCTCCACAATGTCACATTATGCACCTTCCAGATGGTGTCAGGCGAGGCACTTGGTCAACGTAGCTACACCTTCACGTTGGGCAGCAACTGCTTCCTCTCGTCTTCCTCCTGCTCGATCCTTTGCAACCGGAATGCAAGAGATCCTATAATGATGTCCCACCATCTGTCGGAATGTCGGAATTGGCCTGCGGCCAAAGTTTTGACCAGGTTTCTATGCTTCTCTGAAGCAACAAGCAACTTAGTTGAAATGGCAGTCGCGATCTAAATCTCTGGACTCATCCTAGCAGTCCTAGCACGGTTCGGCGTTGACTTGAATTGAAAGTAAGGACGCGCAGCTTAGAGCCATGACGCTCGCGACAACTCGGAAGTTTTGGAGAAGCAGGGCATCGCTTCAGGGAAAAAGCAAGACGGGAGTCTGTGAGCGTGCTTTCCCATAGAGGATGCCCCCGAAGATGGACAAGCAGGCACCGAGAATCTGGCCATGGGTCAGCACCTCAGCCGCTGAAATCTGCTGAATACAGTATCCCAGTTCGGCAAATCGCTTTCAGTCGTCTTGCGTAATTATCGCTGAGGCCGGCGCCTTCGTGTGCATGCCGAAAGCCTCGATGCCGATAATCACGAACTTGTTGGCATTGACCATGACAAGGAAGCTGGTCGCACCTTGGTTCAATATTGAAGCGTTTCGACAAACAAACGATTCCAACTCATAGTCATACTCACCGGGAACGCTGCAGGGGTGTTACTTCGCCCAGCAGAAAACATGAAACAAAAAAGCTAAGTAGCATCATAACGTGATCCACCATCCTATGAGAAGCTTACAGCTACGGAGCAGGATTCCGCAAGATTCATCGTGAGCCGGGTGGCTGATCAGGCTCTGGGCCCAAATTCCAGTAAAGCCGATGGACAAGCCAATGACCTCGGAAGTATAAGACTGGCTCTCGGTGCAACCGAGAACCCTTCAAACACCCGAAAGATTTGGGCACAACTTCACGAATCAGCGTTGGATGTACGTATGTCTTCTTACTGAAGCCATCGAAAAACGGCAGCCTGACTGGCACGACTCACGACTTCTAGGTCATGATTTGTACAAAAACCGGCATCAATCGAATGAATGCATTCGTGCCACAGCCGACTGAATGCGGGAACGTCCTCTGTAGCTTCTTCCATTATCTCTTAACAAACCCTTTCACCCCGCACGAGTAGGATTGTCCTGGCACCCAAGATACTAGGATTATGCAACCCATCGTATAACGACAGAGAGAATAGGCTCATAGTCACCACACGCCCGGAAGCGAATCCTTGAAGCCTCGGAACCTGTGTAACGTCAAGGAGATTTCGGGTTGGAGGCCTTCTGGACAACCGTGGCTTGTCGCACCGGCACCGGAGCCCGAAACCATTGCACGGGTCCAACGAACAGGGCGGGTTTGGCTGTTGTTAGCCTACCGTTTAGATGCAAGGGTCCAGAATTTCAGTGTTGACAAGCTGGCACAGCACCGCGACGTCTAATTATGACTTCCGTATCAGGGATTTGGAACCTGGTTTGGGTGCAGGCTGTTTGTGGTTTACCGTTCTGGGTGTCGCGGAGGCCTTGCTGCGCAGGAAACCTGTTTCAGTCTAAGGTGCGCGGCACCATGAAATCCTCAAACTCCTCAACCGCGTCCCTGACCCAAGCCGAGGGACACAGCTCAAGCCGATATAGACCTTGTCCACGCCTCTGCAAGTAGCAGCTCAAGTTCAATGGTCATGTGTTGACACGGAGTGAGAATCGCTGACGACCCTTACTCAGCCTGCGTCAAAAGTCAAGCCACCAAGCCCTTCCCCATTCGGGCTGATCCCCGGCAGTTTGCCGCTAGCAACACGATATTTTGGTACAGATATAGATATAGGCAAAGTTAGAGATATTATATAGATATAGATATTCATGTGTGTGTGTGCGTTAGTTTGTGTGTGTGTGTGTGTCGTGTGTGTGTCGTGTGTGTGTGTGTGTGTGTGTCGTGTGTGTGTCGTGT